AAGGCAAATTGGATGGTTCCACCCACCCAATTGGACTCCCGGAGAGTATTTGGGACCATAATAAACATTTTGACAATTTATATATGCGGGCGAAAAAAAAAGTTAAAAATTCCAAAATTGAAGGCTATCCTTGCTTTTTGAGAAATTTTAGAGATTTCGGGGCTCGGTGTTGAAAAGTCTTGAAATTGTATGGGATACATCTCGGGTTCATATAATGCCGTTTGGAACCATTTATGATCATTATTTGTTGTCATAAATGTTCATGGTAGGCTTGAGTTGATGAAATCGGTGCAAGTTGTAAACCGGTAAGTTGGTCATTTAAAGACAAATTGGATGGTTCCAACCTGCCAATTGGACTCTCGGAGAGTATTAGGGACTATGTTAAACATTTCGGCAATTTTTAAATCCGGGAGAAAAAAAGTCAAAAAATTCCAAAATTGAAGACTAATATCCTCGCTTTTTGAGAAATTTTGGAGGTTTCGGGTGATATTCGTGTTCAAGTATAAATAGATAATTATCATTTTTATCAAGCTAATTATTTCCTTTGACTATAATATATATGGTAATATACTAGAGAACTGTAGTCTATAATTTAGGAAGATAATTATCTCTTTTGACCATACAACAAATATATACTATATTTAACTCTTAAATTTGAGGATAATGCTCCTTTCTTTTGTTGGCCTAGACCAACTTGGTCTCCCTAGACAAAATGCTTTGATTAACAATAATAAGGTGGTCTAAATTGCATTTAAGGTGATTTGAAATCGGGTCAGGAACAATTTGGGTTGAATTTAGGTCGGGTCAATAACAAGTCGTGTTGATTTCGAGTTGGGTTAGTAACAGATCGGGTTGAATTTTTCGGTCGGGTTAGTACGTAAGAGCTCTGGTAAAATTTGGGTCGGGTTAATAACAAGTCGGGTTGAATTTGGGTCAGGTCAATAACAAGTCGGGTTGATTTCAGGTCGGGTTTGTAACATGTTGGGTTAAATTTCGGGTCGGGTTAGGAACGAGTCGTGTTGAATTCAGGTCAGGTTAATAACAAGTCGGGTTAAATTCGGGTTTTGACAGGTTAAAACGGGCTTGGGTTAATTTTGGTTCAAGTCGGGTTCGGTTTAGGTCAATAATTTACGGGGTTATTACGTTCGGGTCGGGTCATCTCTAGGTCAGTTCATGTTCGGGTCTCACATACTCGGGTCAACTCGGGTTTAGGGTTGGTTTTAGGTTGGGTCAGGTCGGGTTTGGGTCACCATTTTTTCGGGTTCAAATGGATCGGTTAATAATCGAATTTGAGTCGATATTTCGGATCGGGTCAACTTTTGACAGCTCTAAGTAATAATTCATATCATACAAGTAGAGATTTGTACTATTTAGTAATATACAGTAGTAAATGCTGATTCTATTCACAAATGTATTTATTAAATTATACTTGCACGTAGTACTTGAAAACCGACCTAGACTATTGTTTAATTATAAATAAATCACGTCACAACAATATATACGACGTATATATATGTAACAAATTACAATAAAGATTAATGGTTAGTTGATTACACATACGTACTTAATTAACGGACGGTGAGATATGGTGGATCATTGATTTTTCTAATCAGATGCACAACTTGATAACAAATAATTATTACATGCAAATTATTATAAATTTATACTTGTTTTAGCTAGTGATATTGGGGATGAAGACACTGGTGGTGATTATAACATTTCGTACATTAAGTAAAATTCAATTTATTTCGTACATTAAGTAAAATTCAATTCCGTTCAAAAAAAAAAAAGTAAAATTCAATTTATTCAAACTCACTCAATTTTAAGCTTGTTGCCTTTTGAGTATAAAGAGGTTACAAATTAAACAAGTAATATAAATGGAATTTGATGTTAAGCTTTATTGAGTAACAACTTAAAAAAGGCCGATGTCTTCTTCATTTACATCTCCAACACTATTATTTTCTCCTTCTTATGTACTGTATAGCTTAGTTAGTGATTAAATGTATTTGCAATTATAAATTATATAACATGATCCGATCACAAAATATCCCAGTTAAGTAAGCATACAATGATACAACTACCCATATATATAGTTAATTATATAAACACTATTTCACAAATTTTAGTATATATAAACCGTAATTATATAGCTCATCATCATATTATTATTATTATTATTATTATTATTATTATTATTATTATTATTATTATTATTATTTATTTAATTATATAAAGTAACTAGTATAGTGACAACTTTAATCTAGACATCTACAAGTATAATATATGTGACAATTGGTTTTGAAAAAGGGATCTATTGTATATTACTATAACCCAATATATATAAACCGTAACTAGCTCATCATTTTATTTATTTTCGTGTATGACTAATAACACCGACATTGGTGATCAAGATCATGAGAGAATGCAAAAAATAAAATAAAAGGTGAAATATAATAATTAATGGTACGTCTTGCATGATTATTGAATATTGAACCACTATTAATTCGATCGATCTTGTTCTTTGTACAATTGTACCCAAGTTACTGCCAAATTAAAGGAGATCAAATTGAATGATGAACATATAATGTCGACACCCATGTTCTAAAGTTTGCGATATTATAGCATGCATCTTCTGTACTTTCACAACAAGTCATAAACTTTATGACATAAATTTAATACTAATAATACCTTAGTACTATATTAAAATAGGGGTAGTACATGATATATATAGGGTTTCAACGTAAAATGATGAAGTTTGTTTTCAATTTTAACTAAAAAAAAAAAATACAAAATTGCGTGGTGCAATTTAGGACCATAATGCCTCGATGTTGTAATATGTTGCAACTATCAAAGCAAATAGATTTGAGATAAATATTCCTAGCTAACTACCATGCAGTCACAATAAATTTTCACCTTAAATCACTACTAGATCGGCAATTAGGTTTTAGAAGAACGGTCATAGTTGATTGTATTAGTTGGTTTTTGAGTAATCATTTTCATACATATATCAAAATGATAAGGATGATTTTAATCTTCATATATACGAAGTACAAATTAACCTTGCCCTCAAAATGCATGCAACATAATGATGAAGAGTGATTGAGAAAAAGACATCGGTCACAAATTATACTTTGTAGTTTTAGTTAATTTATCTTCTGTAGTTGGTAAGGAGAAGTCCCTTATTACAAGTTGGCTAGGGAAATTTAAAATAGGTCCACTTGCCTGGAGTGAGAAGCAAACCTCTCTCATGTCATAGAGGTAAAAACACTTAAAGAGGACCTCTTCGATTCAACTACTAAACCAGGCCAACCTTGATTCTTGTACTTTAGTTGATTTAGGGTAACTAATTAAACCTCAATTCAATCTATATATAAAAAAAGTAGCATAAAATAATTTTGATTGGAGATATTATAACACTACTATACTTATACTCATGAGTCATGATGAAGGTAGAATTTAAAAAATACATGTTGTATTTGCAATAATTGAGGTAAGAGTAAATAGTGTATCAGAATTCAGAATAGTGGGAAGCTATATATTGTAGCATGCATTGATTAATTACATGGTATATGAAATTCTTTGTTTATTAATTTATAACAAATCATGCATAAACTATGCAGAACCACACTAAATGGAGTATGTGCTCATTCTTTCAAAGCTTCTTTTATTCCCTTTGAAGGGTTGGAGAATCATGCACCAACATTTTCTTTAAATTGAGCAAGCTTTTTAACATGTTGGAACAATTATAACCATCACTTGTAGCTTTTGATGGATTTGCAACACTATTCATGTATCATCTAGCACACGAGTAACAAGCTACTCCATCCGTTTCATAAAGTTCTTCCTACTTACTATTCATGTAGATAGTCAAAATAACAAATTGAAACTTTGGCCGTCTTTAAATTAATTTGATAAACTATATACAAGAATAAACAAAATGAATGAAGTAGGATTATTGGGTTTGCTATAATCTGAAATTTCATATTACCAACTTATTATAATTATATGTTGGAACAATTAATCCATCATATTCATATCAAAAAATATTAAGATATAAACTTCTTGCACTATACCATTTTCTTTATTTTGATAAAAATTCTACAATTAATGCATTATAACCATTATTTAATTTGCAGCTTTAGATGAATTTGCAATACTGTTCTTGTATCACCTAGCAAATAAGTAATCTCTCTCTCTCAAAAAAAAAAAAAAAAAAAAAAAAACTAGCACATTAGTAACGGAGTTTAAGGAATTAAAAAAAAGACCTTGTATTGATTGATGTTTTTAGAAAATAGTTACAGAAAATTGTATTACTGTATAAGTGTATCTTTTTTTTTTTTTTTTTTTTTTTTTGAGAAAGTATAAGTGTATACTCCATACTATATTGCAAACAAAGCTTTCTAATTAAATTAGAAGTTTTAATTAGCTAGATTAGAGATCAAAGAATGAAATCAAATTTACCGATGCTAAAGTTATATATAACTAAATACTTATATAAATTCATGAGGAAAAGATTAGTTGATTATGACAGTCATCTATACATGCATTATGATAAATACTACAATAATATACATTTACAAAAAAAAAAAAAATTGATAAAACGTTCAATAAGAAGTGAAAAAAAAAGTTTGTATTGAATAAAAAGCGAAAAAAGTGATATGTATTCTTTGATATAAAAAAAATTTAATACAAAATATCATTCATATCAATGTAAGCATGTGCGTCACAAAACCCTAAAATGTAAAAAAAACTAACCTAGTTGATACGATATTTAAAAATTTATCGTTTGCACATTATACTTTATTTAAGTACCGTGATTAATATTTTTCTTAAGAAAAACACTACAGATCCCGATGCACGCAACTCGATGCCTTGTAACAGTAAATTACCCATATATGATGACATTCTCTATAGTCAATTGATAAAGTCAATAATTGTACTAGCTAGGGTTTGTTGTACCACAAATAAAAGGGTTATATTAGAAGGCTAGTACTAAAACAAAAACAAAGATAAGTAAACAAAACACAAGATGTAGTAGGGACCACTACTAAGCATCTAAAAAATATTAAAACTATTCATGTGGACCCTACAATTGCCAATAAATAAGCCTCTTCTCATAGTCCAAAATCTCCAAGTCCAAACACTCCCAAAAAAAAAAATCAAAAAATAGTTTTCTTGTAATTTCAAACTTTCTTCCTCGATCAAAGAAATAACCTCATAGTGTCGACATTATGGTGTGCCAAGAAGAACCATTGGTGAACCAAATTAATGAATTGTATGAGAAAATCTCAAGCCTTGAAAGTCTGAAACCTTCAGAAGATGTCAACATGTTGTTCACACAACTTGTATTAACATGCATGCCTCCTAATCCTATTGATGTCACAAAATTATGCCATCAAATCCAAGAAATGAGGTCGAATTTAATTAGACTTTGTGGTGAGGCTGAGGGACTTCTTGAAAAACATTTCTCTAATATATTAGCGTCGTACGATGTCCCGTTACAACACCTCGATATATTCCCTTATTTTAACAACTACGTTAAGCTTAGCTTGTTAGAGTACAACATCTTGACACAAAACTCTATCCATGTACCAAAAAGGGTTGCCTTTGTGGGGTCCGGCCCGCTACCCCTCACATCGATCGTGCTCGCCCTTAACCACCTCCCCGACACCCGGTTCGACAACTACGATATCGATGCGTCCGCCAACGAGATGGCGGCCCGGTTGGTGGAACCCGACCCGGACTTGTCGGGTCGGATGAAATTCCACACTAAGGATGTTATGAGTTTGGGAAAAGAGGAACTTGAAGAGTATGATGTTGTGTTCTTAGCTGCCCTTGTTGGGATGAACAAGGAGGAGAAGGTCAAGGTCATCCATCACTTAGCCAAACACATGGCACCCGGGTCAACCCTAATGGTTCGAAGCGCCCACGGGGCTCGAGCCTTCTTGTACCCGGTTGTCGAACCCGAAGACCTTTGTGGGTTCGAGGTGCTATCAGTTTTTCACCCAACGGACGAGGTGATCAACTCGGTCGTGATCGCGAGGAAGGCCGATGATGATCGGTCTTCCCCGGTGTATTCATTGGAGTGGGAGCAAAATCACACACATAACTTCTCTCCAATAAGGTTACAAAGCTGCAAGTGTTTGGAGATTCAACCATTTAACCCTTTGAATCATGGCAATATTGTAGGAGAACTAGCCTCTAGTGCTCATCAATAATAAGCCAAGCTAAATAAAAGTGTAACACATACGTACACTTCCTACTCTTGATCTTGAATTGCCATTTTTGTTGTTCTATCTAATTAATCTTCCTTTATCACGTACCATCTCATTTGTTCATCCCAACCTCACCCAACCCGACCCGACCCAACCCGACCCATCCCATTGTTGATCTCTATCCATGGATCATCTCATTTTCATGGAAGGGAGTATGTAACATGTCCTACACATAAAATGTGGTCCAACCCTAGTGTTTTAATTTGTCATTGATCATCATATTTGGTTTCACTAAGTTTCATTAATCATCCAACTTGCAAAATGAAGCCAAATTTGATTTTCTTAAATCCCGTGTTTTTTTAATCATTAAAAGGTAAGGTTGCGTACATCTGGCTGCAACATGATCAAAGGGGGTCCGGTTATAGTTATTGTTGTGTTTTCAAAGTTTAAAAAAATAATAATAATGATGTCCAAATTTCCTTGGCACATCTATCAAGGTTGATTTTAATTGGGGTAGAAGCCCTTGTAATTTGATCTTGATCAAGGTTACATGATTGGGTGTTTATTTTAGTTGTTATTCTTGGGAAGAGGTGCAAAGTTAGTTGGTCTAGTTGGATGTTGAATCTAATTCTCAATAATTGGGATGAATGATGTGACAAGCAGAGGAAAGAAGCCACAACATGCAATGGAAGCTAATTAAGGTGAATTTTCGTCAATGATATAATTCCTGGATTTTATAGGAATTGTTTAAAAATAATTTTCAAGTCATATTCAAAGTAGATATTTGAAATTATAAATTGTGTGGACTATACAGATTACTGTAAGTCATTGCTGCAACTAGTTGTATTTTTCATTAGAATAAGCAGCTCTAATTAATTTAATCATGTCAAACAATGTTATACTTATATATGTATATGTATGATGTATTATTATTGTATGTGATTTATCAAATTGGGTTTAGTGATCAAAGTTCCCCTTGTGTCGATTTTTTTTTGGTTGGTTGTTTGATTTCAATCTTGATGCTTGAGTTCTAACTTCAAATTTTCCTTTTGTAGCATTTTAATGTCCCATTTCTAAAACGATATACGTTTTTTTGGAGTATTTTGTTAAATAAATAGATACCGTTTATTTTTATATTGTTTGTATTTTATCAAAGGGAATTTTTTTGGCATCTAACATGAATCCTAATCAATCAATCAGTCATCTTCAACACTATAGTGCAATTTCAAGATAACAAGTCTATTTATAATTTCCTAATTATTTTAATGTCCTCACAAAAATCTTGTGAGATCTGTGTTATTGTTCATAATTTAAAAATTCACTTGAATTATACTTTGTACTTCTACTATATTTTCTTTTATTAAAAATAAAGCCTTATATATTGTGTCCATTTCACAATTTTTTCCAATCGAATTATGCTCTCATTTTGGTTCATTACGAATTAGACATTGGCTCAAACTCAATATCAAATGCACCGGGCAGCTAGAGCCAAACTCGAGTACCTTGCAAGAAATAGAACTCACACGGCCTTGTCTTTAAGAAGGTGGTCCTTAAAAAGTGGCACTTTCTTGAGGTCCTTATAACAAGGTTGAAGACACATCAATTCAATTGGCCTGGTTTGACTAGCTCAAGATGGCAAATTCCTTACCTCTGATAGTCTGATATGTACGTTTCGCTTGTGCAGTACGATAAACAACTACAAGGGTAACTTTGCAAGGTCTTTTTCAGTATATATACTTGTTATAAATGGAATTGCACAAATAAAATAGTAAGAACAATGTTACCGAGAATAAGACTGAGTCGCGGACTATGTCGCTCTCTTTAGAACATTCGCGACACTGCCTCAAACTTGTGCAAGCAGCTCGTACCAAACCGGATGCCCCCAGGATAAAACAGTCTTTCACAAGTATAAAATATCGGCGGTTTAGCACCGAACCACCGGAACACCAGAAAGAAACTGCTCGACTGTTTTGAGAGGAAGAGAAAATATATTTTGCAAAGTGGCTCGGTTCGGTTCGGCGCGCGTGTGTGTGATATATGGTTTACCATATAGGTCCTCCCTCTCCACAAAATGTGGGTAGCCCAAGGGCCACACCCCTTTAGCCCACTCTCTATATTATAAAGAGAGTAAAACTCTCATTTCCCACCAATGTGGGACTTTGAGTTTTTTCACAAAATTCACACACTACACACTTGTTGTTCCAACAATACTTGCTCAACTTTGTTTTCAACAGGTTAAAATATAGATAGATTATTTTGGGTAGGTCTGAGTTGAAGTTGGTTTCTAGAGATGAACAATTTCATAATTTTGGTCATATCTACCCCAATTAGAGATGAACAATTTCATAATTTTGGTCATATCTAGAGATCAACTAGCAATGGTAGTTATCATTCTTTACTAAAAAAAGGAGGATCTAAAGAGTGGAGTGATAGGTAGTCCCTCCATCCCCCTCACCCCCCACCCCAAGTGATGGTGGTTCGATCTTCATCCCCCCTCCTTCTTCAGGAGGTACGTTAACACCCCGTATCTTACCTTTTAAAAATAAAAAATGTTTCTCTACAAAAGGTGAAACTCTTAGGTATAGTGCGTGCTATGTATAATATAATTTATATGTTTGAATTAAGACCATTAAGCACTACTGTTATTAGGTTTGACATGAAACCATCTTACTACACGGAGTACCAAAGACTTCAAGAATTGATTGATTAGCATGCATGTACACATATTATTATCAGTATCCCAATAAAAAAATTCCATCTATTAAGAAATAACCAAAATAAAAAATGTGCAAAAATCCAATGAAGATATTTGCAAATATTCGAGTATAAATTTACGAGGTGGAAAACTGTTCGGTTTGACAGCCACTATTCTCACCAAGGGAAAAGATGGGAAATTTTAATAAAACACAAATAGATGCTGTCAACTGAGATTATTAGAGAACCTCTTTACATAATTCTTGATAATTCTTGATAATGATATTCATAACAGGAAATAATTTTTGTGGTTCTTTTTGGGTAAGACAATAAGAAATTAAACCCAAAAAATAAATTAAAAAAACATATGCTCATAATAAGATCTGGAGTCCTTTCAATTTTAGACAGAAAAGAGATGATTTGATGCAAGTTGTTAATCTAGAGAGACACCATGAGATCATCTATTTTGTGATTATATTCCACTAGCAACATATATGGTTCTTATGCTTTGTTTATTGTGTTCCTTTGGTTTGTCAAGAGGTATAATTGAGATTGATAGATCTAAATATCAATTAATTTAGTTGGTAATGTCTTTCGAGGATGTGAGACATTGTTTCCAACCATAGCATATACGGAGTAACAAACATTCCAAATTACAACGCGATATACTCCGGAAATTGACCAATCGAAGGGTTTGTTCTATGAGTACTAAGTTTGTTGAATTTTGTCTACTTACCTAATTTTCACTACGATAAAATTTTAATTTAAATGTAATTTTTTAAAAGAAATTTGTAAATTGAATTTGAGTAACCTTTAATCAATCTTGTTTAAATTTATTTTTCAGAAACTTATTTCAATTCATTAACCTTTATCTAAACTTGTATTTTAGGATTTGTTCCAAAAAAAAAAACAAAAAAAAAAAACTAGTAGTTTAGGAATTATATGGGATTTAGGTGAGCTTACCAGAGCCTGGACTTATTTTTGTTGAACTTTTGATAAAAATATATTCATTTGTTTCTTTACTTATTGAGTTAACCAATTGTATATACACTAGAGAAGTCAAGAGTAGTTAACCTCATGTTGTAGGTTTAAGTCATGATACAAGCTACTACATATCATTACTCACCACTAATCCATGTGTGGTGTATAATTTAACTATTTTGCTAATCAATTGGCCAATATTAAAAGTTTTAAACAAACAACAATACTACCAACAGGAAATATTGTACGTTTCAAAATCTCCAATTCTGAGAATAATAGAGTGTAACGATGTGACTGGTGTGCTCAAGTCTAACCTGGTAGTTGCGAGCAAATGTAAGCAAGTTCATATCTCCGAGCATTTCCTAAAAATAAAAATCCAAGATTATATTGTCAATTATTGATGCGATGGTAGTTGATAAGTTATTTCAAAGATGAACACCGCCAAAGGAACTCTACAGAACATAAGTTTTTGTTTCATGCTCCGAATGGAATACGATTTACATGAAAAATAAAGCAATTATCACTTCTATTTAAAAAACAAACAGTATTACTACTACTGTATTAAGATACAACAAGAGAACACGTCGTAATCTTCAGATGCATACAATATATCTGACATTCGCTACAGTTTTATGGTGTTAGTAGCATACAGGTAGCTTTCGTTCAAGTTAAACAAGCAGACGACTGATCTATAAGCTCCCACATGGCCACCTTGATGAAGTTTCAGACTAGAAACTTGAAATTCCCAGGAATCCCATGTACATAAAAAAAAATGGAGATCTCACCTGACATGGTGCTCTTCAAAAGGGAAAAGACCATACCATGAAATGATGAATGTTGTGTCTGATAAGTAAAGGTCAGAGGTCATTTTGGACGCTTAGCTCCCAGAGGAAAAGAGACTCTCTGTGGAGTGCTCTGCATCATATCGGCTCTTGGCTCTTGAGATGTGCTAGGAGTAGCAGCAGTCTCCTCGTCTTCTGTTTCTTCTAAAGCCTGGGGGTTCTGCTTCTTTGGTATCACTAGCTGATAATTTGGGCAAATCAGTGTATCCTCTTCAGGAGGAAGTGGAACTCCAGAGCCTCCAACATTCTTTGGTAGGGGAGTTTTGTTCCTGTTTCTAGCAAGCTCGAGTAATACCTGATCCAACAGTTAAAAGTTCACAATTAGGAATAATGCTACAAAGAAAAGAAAATGGTCAAGACTCAAGAGGAATCAATCATCACTTCTAAACACCAAAAAAGGGAAGAAAAAAAAAACAACCAAACCTTGAATGAAAACATTTACAGTCCTAGTGTCCACTAATAAGATATCAAATGACATCTTGTTCCAAATTCTTACTAATTCTCTCCTGTATATCCAATTCTTGCTAATTATACAATTAGGATCCCAAATGGCCACATGTCAACCTTTTCAAGAAAAGTGGCATTCCTTTCCCGTCTTTAGACAATGAGATCATAGCAATAGAGATTTCTATAATATGCACACATAAATACTTGGATAGGAGTAAATAGAAAGCTAAAAGTACCTCCCGGGGTGGGGGTTGTGAGAAGCTGAAATTCACTTTTGATTGGATAGCAAGCTTAACATCATCGCAGTCAATTGAGGTTTTGCCGGCATGTTCAGAGTAAACCTGTGCATCCGTTAAGACATCAACGGCATACCTGTACCACAACTCCAGAAACTGGTGCACAACACGGGGCTCATGCTCCTCAACACCCATAGATTTTAACAATGACTTCACAATTTTTGCATCCCTGGGCAAGTCTTCCTCTCCCTCTGCCATGAATCTCCAAACCTGCAACACCACCCAATGTGCATTGTAAATTGAGATACATAATTATTCATTAATCATGAATCTCAGACGGAAGAAAGTAAGACAACTTAAAATATAAAAGTGTACTCATAATTTTTTAAATCAGCAGTAATTCCCCAATATCATACTTGTATATAAACAAGACACAAAAACCAAAGCTCTGAGCCACAGGGTCAAGTTGTTCACATAATTTCTACAATCAAACATGTAAGATTCCATAATTAGGATAACAAATATAGTAGTATCAAGAAGATGCGGTAGAGCTTTCTAGGACAAATCCATAATTGTTTAACTGATTACAGAACCCATGCTAATCCCAAATTTATTCGGCAGTCAGCAATTCTGTAAAATAGATTGTCTAGCCAAGTAAACTGTAGCCAAATCATCATCGGAATCTGTTGCTCTACCTTTTCTGTACTTAAGCACTCAACAAATTACTAAAGGCAAACATAAACAGAAATACACCAGATCCCCCCCACCCCACCCCACCCCACCCAAGGTACTAATGATAAAGGTACCTATTGCTTGTCCTTTACTACGCTTAAGTACTCAGCAGCTTTGCTAAGCAAAATCAACAAGTCAATCCTACACTAACCATACTAGAACAGCTATAAAATATGCACACTCACACACAAGTCAGTAGAATGTTACATCCTAAGTTGGATGATTTCGCGATTCCTGCATGATCAGAATCCATAAGCTCCTGATTTTCCCTTCGTCCGTAAATCTAGCACTAAGATATACAGAATACAGCACGACGCATCCCAAAAAATCTAGAAAATTACAGTTGCCCAAGCTAGCAGGCAATTGTGAGTAATGTTTCCATACTAGGCTTCTCCAGGCCCGTCCCGGAGAAGAGGTCTAATCTAGTAGTTCAATCCTAAAATCAAAGGGATGTGCAATACATTAGCACCCAAATTTAATTCAATAATCTCGAAATATCACATAATTTTAGGGATATATGATTCAAATATCACATTAGGCTCATAATTTTGTTTTCTACGAACATAATCGCAGGTTATGATCTTTCATAATCTTAGTAGTTAGAACCAATAGTTGAGATTTTCGAACCCTAAATTTACTGAACTGATAATTGAATTAAACTAAACCCTAGATTGTGAAATTGATATGATGATTACAAAAAAAAAACAACTTCTTACCTCAGAAGGCGCTTCAATGGAGAACGACAAGTGCGAAGTTGAGTGCACTTCAATGGAGAACTGAGAGAGAGGGGAGAACCAGGAAGAGAAAGACGTTAAATTGAATTAAATTAACGATAAACCCTAGATTGTGAAATTGATATTAAATGATTGAAAAACAAAAAATAAAAAGATTCACCTCAAATGCTGCTTCGATGGAAGAGAACAAGTTTACAAGCCGCTTCAATGAATCAAGAGAATAGTAAATTCCTCTGTTCCTTTTGTGTGTTCGCTACTGCTTGTCTGCTTTAACAGAAGCTTTTTTAAATGGCCGGTTAATTAGTGTTAGAATGTAATTAAAGGGCAAACTTGTAATTATTATTTTTTTTTTCTTTTTTTTTTAATTAGGAATAGTTGTAGGGCCTGTTCTCTTCCGTTGAAATTCAGTTCAGTTCAGCTCATTTCAGTTCAGCTCTTAATTTACGTCTAATGATATTGCTAATGATATAAAGCCAAATTTCATTCTTTTAAGCTCTTATTACAACGACAACAACAACAACAACAACAACAACAACAATAATAATAATAATAATAATAATAATAATAATAACAATAATAATAATAATAATAATAATAATAATAATAATAATAATAATCAATAAGTAATAAATAATAATAATAATAATCATCAATAAATAATTATAATAATAATAATAATAATAATCAATAAATAATAATAATAATAACAATAATAATTGAAATAATAATACTAATAATAATAATCAATAAATAATAATAAAAATAATCATCAATAAATAATAATAATAATAATAACAATAATAATAATAATAATCAAATAAATAATAATAATAATAATCATCAATAATTAATAATAATAATAATATTATTATTATTATTAATATGTACATTTGTATATACACATATGTATAGTAATAAATAATCAAAGATCACTAATCCGTAATTAAAAATCACTAATTAATAAGTTCAGTTCTGTTCAGTTCAGCTCAGTTCAGTCAATCGGAACAGGCCCTTAGTTTTACCTCATATTAGGGTCTGTTTTCAGAACTAAACTTATTAAAACTCAACTGAACTAAACTTATTAGAACTGAACTAAATATTTTATAATAGAAAGAAATTAGGAGTTGAACTGAACTGAACTGAAAATAATCGTATGAGAACAGGCTCTTACTCCGTATTATGTACAACCTTGTCACATTGTTTGATTGATGACTTGATGTAGGAAATTACTTCCTTTATTGAAATTCCCAGGAATTGTGTCAAAAAATCCTATAAATTATATAAATATGTTTGGTTGTTATTTGGGGGAATTTGTAAATCTTAAGAATTTTGAATGACCGAGGAAGGGGTGGGTAAGTAACTTTTCTTGTTTTGTAGGAAGTGAAAATTCCTATGAATTGTGACTTCCCTCATTTTTGCTTTTTAATGCCAACTAAACAACACACCTAAAAGGAAATTCATGGAAATTTTGAGTGTCCATGGAAACTAAAGGCAATCAAACAACACCAAGGCTCACTGGCTCAATAGTCAATAATGTAAGGAATTATTGGAAAAAAAAAATTTATGATCTTGTAATATATATACTAGTATATACAATAAAATGTTTGACCACCAAATTTTAATTTTATGCTAAAATTTAAGTCCGCTTACAATTGTGTACTATCCGCTTAAAGGTTCATAAGGTTATAATAGTACGCATACTCAACCTATATTCCTATAATAATCAAAATTCGTTTCAAACAATTACTTCAATATCAAAAATTTAAAATTGCATTTTGGAAGTGGTAGTTCCCCAAAGTTGCAAAATGCAAAGCAACATTCCCCTGGAGCAAGGTTTTTTGAGTTAGCAAAGGCCAAAGGCCGAAGCCCTAGAACAAAGAAGGTACGTCAATCAAATGTTACTCTTTACCTATATAATCATGTTGAATCTTGTTTAAATTGTCTATGTGTATATTTTATTAATCTTCACTTTTTATAATTTTACAATGTTGATAATTAAAGTTATTAAGCGTTAAAAAATAGAAAGATATCAACTAAAAAAAATCAGAAGTATACAATTGCTCAATAGATAAAGCATTACCATCATCAGACTAGCTCCCGTTTAAAAAAATGTTTACAGTCGAGTTAACGATTCAAATGATAATTGTCAAGTTAATCACATCAGACTTCAACCCCTTCATACCTACTAAACTACAAATTCAGGCCCAAACTATAATTCTGATTCAGTCAGAAATTGTAGCAAAGGTCTAAGAAGACCAAAGCTGAAACATGATTAAATAGATTGCAGCAAAGATCTACATAAACCATAGCTGAAACACATAGATCACGCTCAGAAAAGAAAGATATAGGATAAATGCCTCTTCACATCAAGCATAAGCATGCCAACTAATGAGCAGCCAGCCGGCCACTCTAAGACATAATTTCCTTCGAAAGATCACAAGGACAACCTCCATACTTAGGTTGTCACTCTCAAACGTACTGATATTATACACTTTATTAAAGAAAAACGATCAGAGAAGTCTACATCGGATAAAAAATAGTTATCATGTTCTCATAAACATTCACCACAAAAGGGTAATGACAACTTTCAAGGTTTACACCGCAGTCAGAGTGGAGAAAACATGATATAACACAAAATCCACATCAACTTTCAGTATAAAAAAAATTATTAATCATGGGTTTATGCACTGCTTTCCTCTACAATGAGCAGCAGAAACGACCATCGAGCTGTTCAAAGACACCAACTTAATCAAAAACATAGTTTCATCAAATATGATCTACTATGATCTACTCTTCTACAACCACACTGATCTGGCCCTTCTCCAGCATGTCATAGAAGGATCTCACTTTTCTCTGCTCATTCCAGTGGTGCATCTTCCACATGGTACCAGCAACCAAGCCAAGTCCAAGGCCAATAAATATCTCTTTCACAACACTGGGACCTTTCAAGGCAGCATGAGCAACCTTTGAGCCAGCCATATTTATCACCTGAGTGTAATAACAATCTTTAAGTGGCATATAATGATATACTACAAGAGGAGAAAGGATTAAACAAAGGTGTCATTTCCAGTTACACGGTGAATGAAAATTGAAAAGAGACCAATACCCTTGTTACACTAGTTGGGAGACAAAGAAATAATCACATATGCAGACTTGTATCTCCTTGTTTTATGATAAATATAGATTATGACCATTCTATACTAGTAAGAAAAATATACTTACAAACCAAGCAATACAAAAATTTCCTGGTCCAGATAATGCAACCACTGTGGCCCGTTTCTATAATGTAGTCAACATAATTATGCAATCAACACATTGTCTAGACTCTAGAAAACATATACTCTAGAAAAACATAGTTGCATTAACAGAGTAGATTCATACAAATTCAAACAATTCACTTGAATATAATTCTATAACTAGAAATTCCATCATTTTACAGGTCTGGATAGCATATCTATCTAAATTACCTGAGTAAATTTATACCGGAGTACTATTTTAAAACAAGAAAAATCAGTTGAAAGAAAGTTAGAAAAGTTAATGGAAAAGTGTACACATAATTTTATCTCACTAGTAGGCAACTAGGCATGAACTACAAGCCCACTCATCATATAAACACAGCAACCCAAGCTTTAAGCCACAAGCTCAAGTTGGTCACATAAATTTCACAATCAGAAATCGTGAACGATTTCAGCATCAAGATACCAATTCAGCATTATATTTCAATTCCACCAGGTAAAAAAGTGAGACAGAGAGGAGACTTGACCTACAGTCCTATAGATATTGGTGGAAAGCAGCAGAACTGCTGTTTTAAGTACAGGACTAATAGGTAAATGCAGCCAAGTTTTCTGGGAGAAATCAAGGACTGACAACAATATGCTTCAGGAATTGTAACTACTAACTAAACACTGAAGTTGATTAATCCTATGCTAATCCCAAAAGTTGCCAGACTAAAACTCTCAACAAAAACCTGTCCAACCAAGTAAAAAGCACCAAAACTCCCTTTCTACCACCCTGCCCCCCACCCCACCCCCCCTCCCCTCCATATCACTGCTATAAGAATCTGTTGTTCTTCCTTGGGAGTGGTCAAGCACTCAGAAGCACTGATTGAGGAAAATTATGGTAGTGACCAAAATGCCCATACCCCCCCCCTCTCCCTAAAAAAAAACCCAAAATTTAAAAATAAAATCAAAATCTACTTCATATTTCAAGTCATATACTCCAAACAAACATGATCAACATGAATTGATGAACAAACTATAGTCGTATTCAAAATTAACCACACTAGAACAGCTATAGACTCTGTAAACTCTAGGTCTGTAGAGTGCCGCACATCTATGGCATAATTGATCCGAGCACTTACCCCGGCGAAGGTGATTTGCAAACTTTCTCTCCATTCATTGAGAAAGGATTTAGGGGCCAACCGGCCAACATTGGCATCAAGACTTGGGTTTTTCAACCAAATTTGTTATGAGGAACCCGAGCTCAAAAGCTTTTCCATGAAAGAATTCCCTTACTTTGAATGTGCTATACCCATATATTAGATGATAAACAGTCATAACAAGTCAGTAGATACTCTAGTCACATCCTAAGTCGGGCATCTTACTACTTCTGAATTCTGACAATTGCAAAACCTACAAGCTCCAACATTTACCCCCCCCCCCTCTCTCCCCTTCCTCCTACTCCTTAATATCTACAACTAACACTGTAACCAAAAATCAGATAAAATCTAATAAACACCATCTAAATGAGGGCAAGCAAACTTGAGGTAACAGAGGGATTGTAATCGGTGGCAAAGAAAATCATCTTTTTAAGCATTCAATCCACACATACCATCAAACCCTAACTCTCTCACATATCCTTCTTTACACCATTAAAATCCAATCTGAGAAATAACCTTCGCCAAAATTCACAATGAAAACCTCTTAATTCTTCAATGATTCTAAATTCGAATGAAAAATCAAAAAAATTCAAAAGCTATTTTCTTTTCTCCAAAGCACAACATTAAATAGAGTAAAATATCAAGTTGACAATAATAAAAAAAACAAAACCAACACTACAATAACACAATTAGATGCAAATAGATTTATCAAAAAATAACGTAAAACTCTAATTAGACCCAGAATCCATAACATTCAATCGAATTTAAAACAAGCTAAAACAAATAATTAAGAATAAAAACCCAGAATCGAAAAGAACAAAGATCAGAAATAATTGAACGAAATGAATCTAAGATGTAGATCGAAAGCTAAGAAGAGAGAGAAAGCATACCAGAGAGAAAAGGCGGAAATGGTGAATACGAGGGGAGAGAGAAAGAGGCGAAGATTTGGGAATGACGAAGAACAGAAATTATGGTTTGCGATTTGAGACGAAGACTTCAAA